TGTCACTAATGCCTCCCTTCCCCCAGGTGTCATGTACAAATTAATTGCTGCATAGTTTATTTATCTGTGAATTATAGTCAGATGTTTATAAGCAAACAAACAGACAAAGCCCAGCTACTCTCTGAACCTGAATTCTGTCATTAGCTCTGATACTGATTTATACTCTGCCCTGGGTGTTAGATTTGCTTTCAGAGAAAATGTGGTTTGAATTAGTGTAATATAGAAAACATCTCTTCTAATCTATTTATGGTCAGTGCAGTTTTAATCCTTTTTCTTAGAAACTGTACCTGCACAATACTGCAGTAATTGAGTTCTTGTGGTCTGTGTTTATTCAGCAAACCATTCATTTGATCTGTTAGGTTCAGCACAGCAGCCACATCATCTCCTTAGTGGAGCTGTTTTCTGAACCACAGGTGGTAGGAGGAGCTCTGGGGATCTGATCCTTGACTAGCTGTGACATAGCAAGGAAACCACCTGAGTGTATTTTGAGGCACAGGCAGTTCATGTTCATAATCCTACTGATGAGGACTAAGTTGAAACTCCTGCAGAAGGCCTTGCTTCCACCTCATCCACGGATAGATGCTCATTTAACTGGTGACTGATCAAATTTTCACTGTGATTTCCAAGCTTCAGGTTGTGAGACTACATTACATCAGGATACCTCATGGTACAGAATTTGGGGATATAAAAAAAGCAAGTTGTTGTTCCCCTGTTGCCTGAAGATGGGGTGTCTTATGAATATGTGAGTCTCGAGGCAGGGATTTTTCTATTAGTGTATACGTAGTAAAATAGCCAGGTACCTTATGTAGAATATACTTCCTGATAAGTAACTAATCGTTGCATTTGGTTTAGCTACTGCTGTGTATGAAAAAGCCTCCTGGTGGCTTGTCTCTTTTAAAAATTAATAAGAATATATACTTTAATTTTATTCAGTGTTCAGACAAGGCATTAGTTAATGGTTTTTAAAATGTGTCTTGGAAAGAGACACATATTTTTCCCAGTATTATTTTTTACATTCCTCTTATTCCTGTCTTCTACAAAAAAAGAAAAAAAAATTCAAATGAAAACAGAAGTCCTGCAGTCTGACTGCGTGCCATCATCCCAGCAGAAAACCTCCCCTACTGACCCAAATCCTGTTCACCCCAGCCATGATCTGTGGTGCCATTACCAGCTGTAAGGTGGTTATTCATTATAGGCCAATGTGGCTGTAGTGAACGGGAACCTGGTGTGTTGCAAAGAAATAGAGTACAGTGCATCTATGCTGCGTCTGGTGCCTAAATGAGCCCTTCCAAATTAAGTAGCTGTTTGATGTTCCTCTCCAGTGAGAGGTTGTGACTGTCTTTAGAGACTTACAAAGACCAGGTCTCTGCTTTGTAGGGCCAGGAACAAGGCAATTCTATGTGCATGGGTGTCATGGTTTAACCTGGCGGGCCACTAAAAACCACACAGCCGCTTGCTCAGCCTGCCCCCCACCCCCAGGGAATGGGGAGAGAATTGGAGGGGTAAGGGTAAGGAGGCTCAAAGGTTGAGATAAAAACAATTTAATAATTGAAATAAAACTAAATAATAATGATAATACTAACTAAAATAATAATAATAGTAATGATAATAATAATAGTAATGATAGCATATACAAACAAATGATGCACAGTCCAATTGCTCGCTGACCAAGGCCCAGCTAGCAATCCTGGAGGAGAAGAGACACCCCAAAACCGCAGTCCCGTAAGAGCAAGAGCTCAGCTTTCCAGCCAACCCTTATTTATATACTGAGCATGATGTTATATGATGTGGAATATCCCATTGGCCAGTTGGGGTCCATTGCTTTTGCTTTGCTCCTATCCAGCTTACACAAGCCCTTCTAGGTAGTCCCACACTAGCAAAACTTAAGAAGTTGAAAACTGAAAATTTGATTTTTTCTTAGCAACAACTAAAAACATCAGTATATTATCAACATTCTTCTCATAACAAATCCCATCCTAAATCCAAAACACAGCGCTATTCTAGCTACTAAGAAGAAAATTAACTCTGTCCCAGCCAAAACCAGGACAATATGCCGGGGTGCTTGTTAAAGCAACCTGCTTGGAAAAAAATTAAAAATCTAATCCCTCCCTAGTCTTTGGCAGAGCCTATGACCAGCTGTGGTAATTAGTTACTTTCCTGTTGAAGTATGGAGTTGATTTAGCAGCAGTAAAGCTGCTGGTTTCCAAACCCAGAAGCTGCTCTTGAGTTAAAAGGACTTGAAGGGTTGTTGTTGAGGCTGGTAATTCTAAAATGATATCTGCTAGCTGGATTAGATTTCAGGGTGTACACATGCCTTAATGTGTGTGTATGTGCCAGCGTGGCTGAGAGCTTTGTACTCTAATCCGTGGCGATACTGAGTCATTAAATGATCTTTTGCTGAGGATTACAAATTACTGCAGAATCCTGTTCTTTAAATCAGAGAGGGACGGATCCTCCATAGAGTACTTCCCAGATTGCATGCATTTTATTATAACTTATCACCTCAAATCTAAAAACTTCTTTTTTCCATCATTGTTGTCCTTGAAGTCTTAATAATGTTTATAGTACAGTGTTTGTAATGTATTAAATAATTTCAGGATAGATAGTTAAGCCTTAAAAAAACAAAAACTTTAAAAAAGTTTGTGAGGTCTCATTTCTGCAAGCGAAGTTTAAATATGCTTCTCTCTCCATTAATTTATTTTGTTAAAGTATTTCAGTTTGCAAGGTAACTATTAGGAGGTTTGAGCAGCAGCAATATTAGGCACCACCACTTTAGTTACCATGGGGCACCTGTGTGAGGGGCCCTTCGTTAGGTGAGAGGGATGGTTGCACTTGCCTTGCTCTCTGCAGCAACACATACCCACAATTACTTTTGAGAGGGGATGTTTGTTCATTACCCTCCTTGCTGGCAGCCTGGGTGGAGAAACCTTAGATAATAGAGGCAGAGAGACCAAGAGAGACCACCTCTCACTCAAGAAGTGATGGCACATGCTCCACATTGTAATTTATTACCTTTGCTGTCATTTACAGAGCTGACAGTCCCAGAGGTGTGAAGATCTCTGTTCAAGAGGCTGTAAGACCCTCTTCCACTTGTATTTTAAATCATTGTCCTTGATAAGATGATTGAATAGAAAGTATGATGATGCACAGCAATGAGACTAAACCACAGACTGGCCTTTGAATTGTCATCTCTCTGTTGTTCTCTTTGACTGTCTGATCACTATTTCTATAATAAGCCGAGCTTCAGAAAGCCTGCTGTTCAGTGAGGATTATAGAGTGAGTTCTGAAAGGCAGGAGTTTATATTCATATACCTGAATAGCTCTGAAGCTAAGAGCGAGCCATGTCCAGAACACAGTGGTATGGTAAAGGGTGAAGAGAGGAATGGCACATGACTGTCACTGAGGAGCTTTGAAGATTAAAATGAGCATTTCAGCTGAGACAAACGCAATTTACTTAAGCACTGCCCAAAATCTGGGGGAGCTGTTTCAGACAAAACATAGCTGGCTACAGCTTTTAAAGAACCTCCTTTAGCTTGGTTTGTTAAGGAAGTGGCTTGTGATAGTAATTGTGTACATACATGTGTATGTGGCTTCCTTCCATACGGCTTGAGTCCAGCAAACCATTTTTCCTAAATGTGACTTGGTGGTAGAGTCCCATGGGTACTAAGTTTAGGAAAATAAGTCACCTTCCCAGAGAGAGAGAGAGAGAGAGAGATGCTGATACATGACCCAAGCTGTATTACTATTAAATATTGGAAAAACCATATTAGAGAAATTATTAATGCCTCAAGTCACGTTTGGAATTCACGTTTTACTCTGTAACAAATTATCTTCGCTGTAAAATGTGAAGTCACGGGAAGCTAAAATTCATTAGCCTCAGTGCTTAAGGACCTGCTTTTCTTTTCAAAGAAAAAGTTGTGGGTTGGTTGGTGTCTGTGAGGTACAAAGCAAGAGACCAAGACCACTCCAGTGTATTCAGATTCCTGGTGACATAAGTAATGGCAGTAAATGATCTACATGAAAACTGGTTCATCTGCAAGACTGAAAAGTTGGAGGGGAAGGGGTGTTTGGTTCTGATAGGGTGTTTTGAAAATTAGTCCCTTTTTTTTTTCTTTTCTTTTTTTTTCTCCCCCCAGACAAAGCCAGAGTTGTTCATTTAGTTCAACATGGGAGGATCTGTTCATTTTTTCAGGTGTTTGTCTCAAAGAAAGGGCTTGGGTTCACAAAAATAGTAGGGGATGAGGAAGCAATAATGGCTTTTTAATTCGACAGCTTAATGGCTGCAGCATCTGCTTGGCTGTGGGAGGTCTGTGTTTTGTTTCCTTTTCTGCTTCACGTATACCCTCCTCTCATCTCAGGGAGAGTCCTGAGCATTGTATCACAGCCTGCGCTCTTTCCTGGCTGCATTTCTGATACATGCTTTTCAATAACACTCAGTTAATGGGAACTGGCCACCAAATGCCCTAGCTGCCAGGGTAAAGAACTACACTCCATCTTTCTCTGTGTCCCTGGGAGTAATTGAGTTGCATCTCAAGCTCTGTGGCCTGTGGCATGGAAACTGCTGTTGTTACTCTTTGTTTGAATCAAGCAAAGAATAAATCATTTAGCTTTCAGCTTGGCTCCTCTGTCTTGCAGGAACATTGGAAGTTAAACTTTTGGCAGTAGCATTTCATGAATGACTTGAAATGCCATCTTAGTCCTTTGAAATGTAGTTTTACCTCCTAGACAAAAAACATGTGGAAACATTTTTTTATCTGGTAGGAATGTAGATGAATTTATCTTCAAAATATTTACAACTCTTAAAAAAAAAAAAAAAGAAAAGAAAAAGAAGGAAAACTAATATGTAGCATGTCTGTGCAGTTGCTGAATCTATTACACGTTTGTGGGATATATGGTGTTCTGTGGGCACATCAAGTGAAAAGATTTTTCCCCAGAAGGGATGCAGAGAAGCTAGAGTTAGGTATTTTCCCAGGCTTTACTCTTAGTTTTTGTTTCTTCAGATTCTTCAATTTGAAGAAATTTTGGCCAACCCCTCATACCGAGAGCACTTCCGAATCTACATGGAAAGGATGGACAAGATGGCTTTAATCGGTCTTTGGGAGTCTGTGGAGTGTCTGAAGAACGCTAACAAGGTGGAAGAAATTGCAAGTCCATGCAGCTTGTGCATTAACGGGAATCTCTGCTTGTTGTGACCTTGATGTTAGGAAATGTCTTTGTATTTGTGTTTTTGAAATAGCAATAGGTGCTAAGCAATTTAGTTTTTTCTAACTTCTTCATGTCAAGGTTTGAGGATATGTCAATTAAAGTGTGGACTGTTTTGATTGTTTACTGTTGTCTTGTATAGCAACGTGACCTATAAAAAGGATACTTGATATGCAAAAGTAGTAGAATTATTTCCTCATCCAGCAGAGAAAAAACTTGCAGTAATATATTGGTTTTAGTTGTATCAACTCATGTGAAACTTAAAAGTACATTATTGTTTGAGTCTATACATAAACTTCTTACCTTGCCAATTGCACATAGCCCATTCACTCCAAAAGCATGAAAATTTGTGTATATAAGTTTTTAAAATCCTTTTGAAAGAGTGATTTTGCTTTAAAATAGCCCTTCCTCTCCCTGGTCTGTTGCTATATAAGCAGCTAAGTTTCTCCAGGTATGCCATGCTGCTAGAGGGAGGAAACAATGCCATGTTGTAATTTGTGCTAAAATAAAGTAGGAATGAGAACCCTGAAACAGGGATAGGAAATACCACTTAAAGTTGCAAGACATGTCCTGGAGCAATGGTGCGGAGCGAGAATTTGCTGTTTGTGAGCAGTAGGGGGAAACTGGTTTAAACTTCCAGGATTCACAGTAGCATGAAATACAAATAACTTCTAATTCACTGGAATCTTTTTACTCTCCTACGTGAAAACATTCTAGTCAGTTGGTGTGGTGGATTGGCTTACAGTCAAACACAGCCTGCTCTCCCACTCTATGCCCTGCCCCCCCCAGGAGTAGGGGAGAGAACTGGAAAGAAAAGGGCAAAGAAACTCATGGGTTGAGATATGCACATGTGCATGGACACACACCCTGCTTCCATCCCCAGAAACCACCAGCACCCACAGAACAGGTGCAGAATGGATGCTGGCTGAGGAAGAGCTCTCTTCCTCCCAGCATTATTTTATCCTGCATTAATGTCTGATTCAAGAGAGATCTATGTTCATACCTTAGAGATAGCTGAGTAAAATTTGTTTTATTTGTGTACAGGAACTCTAATGTTCAAAGTGTATGTGCTAAGGATTACTGAATCCTTGCTTGTACTGCTCTACAAGAAACTCAGTTAGCAAGGGGATGGAGGAGAGATCAAAATGGCAGAAAGATGTGAGATGTGCTCACAAGCCTAAGCTTCTCAAGTACAGGCAAAAAGTGGTCAGGGAATTTTTATGTAAGCAGTGAGTTGTAAGGAAATAGACTGAAGGAAAATCCTCACTGAAACTAAACCACAGCTACTGAGAAGAAAATTAACTCTATCCTAGCAACACCAGGACACAAATAACATCCTGTAACCAAAGTGGCAAATTGTGGTGTGTGAGTAGTAAGCCATTAATACAATCTGAAGAAATGGGTAACAACCAAGTCAGTCTAGAATGTGTTCATAAAAAGTGTTTGTCAGGCACTGTGAAGAGAGTTGTATAAATCAGTGTTGATTTGAAAACTGCTTGTGATTGAAAAAAGTGCTATAAATTAATTTATGACCTTTCAGTTGTGATTTCTGTCCTTCCTTTCAAAACAGGACATATAGTGCATTTGTTCAAGCCTTCCCCTTTTTTTTTAAAGAGATTCTAACTGTGCACTTCTTGCTCCATGGAATGTAAAGGTTGTCTGCCACTACAGGGGCAGCTTTGTTTACAAAAGAGTAGTGTTGTGCAGCCGTGTGGCTGTGGTAATGTCACATGAGACAGGCAAGCACATTGTGCCATACTAATGGAGTGGATGAAACCTTTTAGAGGTTTAGAGAGATGCTCATGGGCTGTGTTTCATTACTTCCTCTCTTTCCTGCTCAGTACTGCGAAGTTCAGTGCTGTGTACTGTTCTGTGCTCAGTGGAATTACCCAGCTTTGTGTACTGGTAAATGTCTCTTCAGATGTGCGCTTTTTCTTTTCTTTTTTTTTTTTCTTTTCCCTTTCAAAAATTAATTGTAGTCACATATAAAGTGAGTTGATCCTATCCAGCAGAAGACAGGGGAGCTGATACAGCTGAACTCTACAATCTGAATTTAAAATATTGACCACAATGTTGTTCTAGCCCCTTTTTTTTTTTTCTTTTAATACTACTTTTTGGAGCATACTTTTAAAAGCAGTGGGTGTGCAAGCTATGGTGATTTTAGAGCACAGCTGTTTCTTCATTTAACACTTAACGATATTTGTATCTTGTGAAATTAACTGCTTAGCATAGGTGTGCAGGTGGAGTGCTTGAGCTCAGTAAGGGATTCACAGATGTGTTCTCGTGCATCTGAATGTGAAATTAGCTTGATCATCCTTCAAATTATGCACCTAGATCCTGAGTCATCCTGATATTTTTAACACTTTTTCATCATTCTCTACTCTCTCCCTCTCCCTCCTTGCTTCCTAGGCTGAAATACCTCAACTGGTGAGTGAAATTTATCAGAATTTTTTTGTGGAAAATAGAGAAATACCTGTGGAAAAATCCCTTTATAAAGAAATACAGCAGAGTCTAGTGGGAAATAAAGGCATCGAAGTATTCTACAGAATTCAAGCAGATGTTTACGAAACTCTGAAGGACAGATACTACCCCTCGTTCATTGTCAGTGATTTATATGAGAGATCAGTCAAGAAGGAAGAAGAAAAAAGTTCCGCTCAGCTACCTCTTGAGGACAAAGATGAAGTGGTGAGTCGCATGGGCAATTTCTTTCACTGTTATTTAATCTGAAGACAATCCGAAGTAAAGCATATGGTAGGATCTTCTGTCCTTGAGCTTTAGACTACTATTTTTTTCTGATGTATTCATAAGTGTCATTACTCTTGTAGTTTTACCAGGTAAATCTGGTAACTTTGCAATCTCTTTGAAACAAAATGGTACCAGATGACTAACTACTTAAACTTTAAACTAGTTAAAGTATGTATTTCAGATTTCTAAGCCCTTTGTATTCCGTATCTTTCTTTATGTTCTTTGTTATCAGAGAATGCAAAACATACATCATACAAACTCAGCTGCTCTGCTTCTCAATGAAGGAAATCTCTCTGAAACTTAAACAGGTTTCTGTCTAGCCATTGTCTGTCCCTGTTGCCCATGCATTTCCTAGGTACTAAATAGGTATTAGAAGTTGCACAGAAGTGGAGAAAAAGTAATGAAAAATATAATCTTAGTGCTTTTTTATTAATTTATTGACTAAATTAATAGGCTAAATTGGAAGATACAACTGATTAAAATAGCACTAGAATTGGAAATCATAAACCAGAGCATTCAAAAAGTCATAAGCAATAACCCAACATCAGCTCTCTTGGGTGAGGTTTTTTCAGTGGGTTCTCTAAATCGGTCATGTCAGGGGAACTTGTGTTATGTTTATCTAAGAACATTTTGACAAGAGCATCTCTCAGACTAATGAGCATCTTTCAGTCAGGTTGCTGCTTCAGATCAGCATGAATATCTTCATTTTACATGTGAACTTGATCAGAACACAGTGAAGTGTAATACTTCATCTAAAACTGGATCTAAACAGACAAATAAAAAGCAGAATCCAGAGGTACTGATCTACATTCTACCATTCAGAAACAATTTTTCTGGAACCTAAGGCTTTTATATTTACTACCTAAATATTACTTTCATTTCTGTAGATGAGCTATGATAGTCTCTGCTAGACTGCATATCAGCAAATCTTCAGAGATGAGCTGTTACAAGTAAATTATTTCCAATATGAACTTTTAGAGCTTGCTGAATTTTTCATTGTTTGTTTCTCCCTGTGTTCTTTTCCTTGATAAAAGATTCAAGACATGTTTTCTGTTTTTTTTTAGTGCTAACTCAGCTATGTGTTAAGGGTGGTAGGTATTTCAAAGACTCTCTGTCCTTGTGTTTGCAACCATAGGGACTTTGAGAAAAGACTGTTACTGGTTTTGTCCAGAACTTTAAGTATTAAACATTGTGCTTTTTAATCTCTTTATCAGAGTCTAACAGAGATAACTGTTTCTCTATGAAAACTGACACAACACTTTAGGGCTACCTGTCCTCTGTCAGGTAACATTTACTATAGCTGCTGAAAAATTAGATTTTTTTAAATCAGCATCATCTGTCCTTCCTCTGAGTCCTTGAATATATATGCACCAGATTTGAAGGCTGTGTCTGCTGTGAAACCTTAAAGACTAATATATTGCCAAGTTTGCTTATATGGTTAAAGTTTGAGGTTTTTTTCATTTTAACAGCAAATTAAGTATGAAATTGCATATGCTGTTAGAGCATCTCTTGAATAGAGCGATCCTAATGGCTCTGTACCATGCTTCAGGGTCTTTGAGGTGAAAATAAATTATAAGAAATTATTTTTTTCTGAAGCTTCTAGTGGACTTTCAAATGTTGATGAAAATGCACTACTGGCTAGTAGGTTTGGGGTTTTTTTCCTCCCCATGTGTAGGAAACAACAGATGAGAAATTTGATGTTTCTGGGGGGGATCCATGTTATTACCAAACACTATTTTCTTTAGTTTGGGATTGAAGGTCTTATGTCCTCACTTCCTGGGGCACTGTGGGAGTTACCTATGTTACTTTTCCATAAATTTGACTGTTATAGCTGGATAGGTAAAAAGCCATCTAGTGTCCTCATGGAGGGGAGGACAAAAGGGTGAGCCCTGATTAAATGTGAGAAAAGAAGAATTGGGGCAAAGCCAGACTCTGCTGGTTCTGCTGCATGTGGACAAAGCTCTTTCTTCTTCCTTCCAATCAGTCATCACTTCTTGCTCCTTGGTCAGACCTCCTTTAAAAGGTTGTGGGTAGACATAAAAATACAGAAGCAAGCAGTGCCTGCATTCACCACTTTGAGGAAAGAGGGTCTGGTGGTTGCGTCAGTGCTTCGTGTGTCAGGTTGCTAAAATAAGCCCAAAGTCTGTGTTCTGCAGCACTCACACAAATGGAAGTCATTAGCACTTTAGCAATCAGGAAAATTGCACAATCCTTTATGATCTCAACTTTGAGTGTGTTGGTTGTTTATTTGATAATTGGAATTCAAATAGCTTGTTATCGTGTAGTTTAGCATTTTTGTGATAAACTTAGTGATTCAGCAGTGTTTTTTGTGGTAATGTTAATGACAGAGAAATTGTGTAGCCCACCTCTGGGAGCAGAGCCTTACTGATTTGTAATTTACTGCAATTGTTTCATTACTAGAACCAAACTTCACATGAAAAGTCTTTTAATTCTTCAGTGTTGAAAATAGCATTTTTTATTCTTTTTGACCTCTGTGCCTTCTAAGAAGTAAAAGGTTTTTTATTTTATGGTTCTGTTTGATAGCATTTTGAATAACACTCAGTGTTGTTAATTGTTATTATTTGTATTATTGTAGTACCAGGAGAGGACAACAAGCTTCCATGAGGTGAGCTCTGTACACGTGCTTGGAGGCAGTCTCAGACCTGAGGAGTTTACAGTCCATGCAGAATAGAGAGAGGAAAGGATGGGGCATAGAGCTAATGATATTTACTCAGCCACATAGCAGGCAAATGCAGGGCTGGAAAAGGACATGAATTTCTTAGCCTAGAATCTCTGACTTCTGTGTTAGGTTACACTCCCTTATGAGGATCACACTAAGGAGGTTAATTGTTGTTGCTGCTGTGTCTCTTTTCAGACTTTTTTTATTAAGATATAAAATACTGCAGAATTCATGATAGGATTGTCTCCTCTAAATCTCACAGAATTTAGTAGAGTATGAAGACTTCCTTCTGTTAGCTTTTTGTTATATTATATAAAGATACAGCTTACTGGGAGTGTCATTAAATAACACAGAACTCTCATTCATGAGATTAGATTCACAGCTTCCCATAGATAAATTTAAATATATTCAGTCACTAGCAGACCTCAGAGATCTTCGAACATGGGTAACGGTAACATCACAGTGCTGTGTTTGCTGGATCTTAAGGTCTTCATGCCTATTTGGGGAAGTACAGTAAGAAAGGGGAGGCTGAGGCAAATGCCAAAAGATGTTAAAGAGAACGTCACTGAAAGTGTGAAGTTTTCTATTTTTTTGCATGCCTGTAGTACACAAGATGGAAAAATCTGTTGGTTTGTCTGAATGCATGTATGAAAATGATTTATGAGTTTAGGGTAATGCGTATGTGCTTTTAACACATTTCTATTAACACTTCTAAAAACAGCAGTAAAATCTGTTTATGAAGAGAAACGACTTGGTTTAGATTGTTCTGCAGGCTGATAAATCTGTTTTGTGGAGGTTTGTGGGAGGCAGGACTGTTTGTTAGAACTGTGAGGTTTTTGGTTTTGTCTCCCCCTTCCCACCTTGGTCTCGTTATCTTTCAACTCAGAGCTAAGTGTTCGCTTTTCTATCTGGCTTTGAATATTGACCATGACTGCTAAGCTGTTGTCGCTTTTAAAGTAAACTTTGATTCTTCCTCTCATTTACACTAAAGCCTTCGCTTGAAGGTCGTTTTACACAGTTGGCAAGAGTTGCCAAAGAGCTGTAGTATAAGTGATAATGATGCTTTGTTTGTTGTTGGTTTTTTAGGGGTTTTTGCAGACTTATGTTTCATATTGGATCTGATGGTTGGCATATCTGTTAGAGTCTGTTATGCCTGCCTTTTCAACTATATCAGGAAGTGTTCTTATACATAAAATGCTTATAGAGCAAACAGTAACTCTTTCCTTTTTCATATTAATGATGCATTTACTCCCGTCCTCTATTCCTAGAGCCACGGTTGTGAAGAAGTTACTGAAGAATGCAGCTCGAGAGTTAATGAACAGGCCAGTTATGCTGTAAATAAACTTCGCCAGCTAAATGACAAGCTTGAGTATAAGAAACAGGCTCTAAATTCCATATGTAATTCACCAAAACCCGACAAAAAGGTAAGTACTTCTAGTGTCTTCAGTTTTGTGTTGGTTGGTTTGTTTGTTTTATTATACTATGTGTGTGTTTGTGTAATATCCATTTGTCTCAGGCTTTTTTTGGACAGGTCAGATTAGTATTTCAATCAAGCTGTTACAGAAAGTTAGATCAAAGTTTAGTTTTAATTGTTTATTTTTTCAATTTTTTAAAGCTTTTGTAACTGAAATTGCAAATGTTATTTATGTTGCTTTGTTTGTCATAGATTAGCAACCTCACTCTCAGTGGTCTTGCTGCTTTGTCGGTGGCAAATAGTGTTTCTTCCTTACATCTCTACTCACCTGTATCTGTGCAATTCCTTATGGCAGCTTGTTTGGTGTCCCTGCCGCATCCGCAGCACTGCAGTGAGGGATGTGCTGGTTAACTTCTGCTCCCTCTGCTGGCTTTGAAATAGCACGGCACAATTTCATAATCAGTTGTGACTGGCTTGCTCAAAGGAAGGGGGAAAAAAAACCCAAACCTATAAAAGTGACTAGTTGCCTTTATAAGGAGCTAGTAGAAATCTGTTGGGTGCACTTTCATCAGACTGGAAATTCTGAGGAATATGAAACTTCGGCTCTCTGGGCTTGGGCAAAAAACATATCTCTCTTTCTCTTTGCCAAGTGCAATATTTAACCAATCTACGAACATATTCAGGCAGAAGCAAGTGATTTGTGTTTGCATTACTATGGAGGATGGTATTACAAGACTGTATTTCAGATGCAGCTGGGCCAAGCTTTTCAGGTGTAATGAGATTGACTGCAAATGGTAGATGATGGGTGAGAGAAACAAGTAGTCAAGGGTGTCTTCCTAAAATGGCCTTCTGGTAGGGATGGCAAAAATGTACCTGAGCATTTGTCATTGCTCAGGACCTGGGTTCTTTGTACATTTGTTCCATCACTCAGGGTGAATGATAAGATGCTGGTCTGGATAGAAGTTGACACCCTACTCATTCTCTGCTGCCCCAGCTCTGGGGATAGCTGCCTCCAAGAGAAAGATGTGGACGGTAGCATTTGAGGCCACCCTGGTTAGCTTCATGCCCTCTGTCTGTTCTGCATCTCCCTTCTGCCAGAGGTTACTGCAGACAACTGGAAGTGTGTCCGCAGCTGTTCTGGGGTCTCCTGCTCACAGCTGCTCTGCTCTGTGTGTGGCCTCAGCTGGCAGAAGATACCTTTGATTTGTCATCCAACCACTACTAATCAGAGTGGTAAGAGCACAGATGTGTCCTTTTTTTTTTTTAATGCCTCTATTACTGCAGTAGCATTTACCTGTGGGGCCTTTTAAGTGGATAGTTAGGATTGACAGTGTGAAAGCACCTTGTCACAGGGACCTTATTTTTTCTCCTCTGAATGTGGCAGGTAAAAATTTGATTCTTGGTCACATGAAGTAAAGAATGTTTCTAAAAATTTCACAGTTTTGTGTTGTATGAAGGGGAACGTCATGCACATTTTGTACTAAATTTTTTAACCTTAAACTGTTCCTGGGCTGTTTATTTTCTCTTTTTGAAATGCCTTTGCTGTGAGACCCATACAAGACATGTATGTACATCTTTAAGTGGCTTCTAGCATTGTGCAACTCAGATGCCAGTCAGTCAAGGAAGAAGACTGCTCATTTGAGTTGCATAAGGAACGCTGCTAGTACCCAGCATTGGTGACGCCACACCTTGAATACTGTGTCCAGTTTTGGGCCCCTCACTACAAGAAGGACATTGAGGGCACTGGAGCCTGTCCAGAGAAGGGCAACAGAGCTGGTGAAGGGTCTGGAGCACAGGTCTTATGAGGAGTGGCTGAGGGAACTGGGACTATTTAGTCTGGAGAAAAGGAGGCTGAGGGGAGACCTTATCAGTATCTACAACTACCTGAAAGGAAGTTATAGTGAGGTGGGTGTGTGTCTTTACTCCCAGGTAACTAGTGACAGAACAAGGGGAAATGGCCTCTAGTTACACCAGGGAGGTACAGATTGGATATCAGGAAAAATTTCTTCACTGAAAGGGTTCTCAGGCACTGGAATGGGCTGCCTAGGGAGGTGGTTGAGTCACCATCCCTGGAGGTGTTTAAATGATGGATAGACGAGGTGTTCAGAGATATGGTTTAGTAGTGGACAGGTATGGTTGGACTCGATGATCTCAAAGGTCTTTTCCAACCAAACAATCCTATGATTAAGAGAAAATGCTCCGTAGGGAGAAGTCTTATTTCATTTCTTTCTGTGGCATATAAGGTGTACCAAAGATGACATGAAAACATGACAAGCAGTCTCAGGCAGTGTCTCTGATGTACAAGGCCCACTGCTATAGAAGACAGCCTGATCTTTGAAGATCTGTGACTGTGGCGCCACCTTCGGTGCATGTCTTATGCCCAAAGCTCAGTGGCTGTCTCCCTTGGGTCTGTCAGTGCAGTCTTACACCATCTTGTGCAACCCCAATAAATATACAGGGACTGCATTCTTTCTAGAGTTCAATCTTGTCATCCTCAGTAGGAGAGCAAAACGTTAACATTCCTAACCCAGAGCACTTTCTAGTGCTTGCTAAGCCTTATTTTTCAAACAAAACTGTGACACAATTATTGAAATTAAATGGGACTTTACTGAATGGGAAAAATGCCTCAGGCTATCAGGAATTATGTGGAAATTTGAGGTTTTTTATGTTAACTTGTTCAGATCTTTCGTGGACCTGTACCAGGAGTGAACATAAAACTCACTTTGATAAATTGTAAGAGGTGCTTTTATAACCAGCTAGGTTTTAAATTAAAATTTACACCACGGGCAAAAAGAGTTAAAAGTACAAAACAAGTACTAAACAAAACTGGATGTTCTTGTGTATGTGTGTTAGGCCATACCATTTGTTTCTGTAGCATTGTACTTTTAATTTTTTATTCTTTGATATGAAAAGTACTATATAACTAAACCTTTATATATTGTTGCATTCATGTGGATGTATCACTTGTATGTTCCTTTTGCATTCTTGAGAAATAATAGCTATATTCTTTCTATACCTAAGTGGTTGGGGAGGTGGGGATTGTATCCCTTCAGAAGTAGTGAGTTTTATCCTGTATTTTTTTTCTCCTAAAATATTCTTTATCTTTGAAAATATATACATCTTTGAAACTTTGAAACCTGTGGTGGTTTCACTCCTTTGGCTTGCAGCCAAACACAGTTGCTCTCTCACTTTCCCCACCTGCCAGGGAGTAGGGGAGAGAATTGGAAGGATAAGGGCAAGGAGACTCACAGGTTGAGATTAAAACAATTTACTAATTGAAATACAATAATAATTTAATAATAGTAATAATAGAATATGCAAATGATTTATGCACAGTGCAGTTGTTCACCACCCACCTGTTCCCACATAGCCATCCCAGAGCAGAGACAGTCCTGAAATCAAAACCGCAATCCTGGAGGAGTGAGCCTGAGTGATTCCCAAAATACCCCCGTTTTTTGGTCAATGCTGGTTAATATACTGAACATGACATGATATGGATATGATATGGAATATCTCATTGGCATATCCGAATGCCAATTGCTTCTCCCCTTCCTGTCCTTTCCACCTGCAAACTTCCCAGATATGATGGCCTTGGGCTCCAGCAGCAACTAATAACTTTAGTACCTTAACATTCTTCTCATAACAAATCCCATACTGAAACTAAAACACAGCTATTCTAACTACTACGAAGAAAGTTAACTCTATCCTAGCAAAACCAAGACAAAACAATAATAAAATGGATCCAGTATTTTAAGTGTAGCAGCTACTTACTTATGATGAAACCTTACCAGTTCTTCTGTATTTCTCGATTGCTCCTCGATGCCACTTACAAGGTGTGTGTGTGAGGTGACTGCAGAGCAGTCTGTATGTCGATAGTAAATAAAATGCAAAATTATTCTGAAGGTTAGGTATATGCTAGAAGGTTGTTATGTAGCCATTATGTAGGTAATATTTCACATCTTACAGGAGACAAAAAATCTGAAAAAGGCAGAATTACTGTAGCTCTGTAGAATGTACCACTTGTGGTGCAAGTCATACAACTAAGACTCATAAATATGACTGTGTGTGTGCTTAAAAAAAAAAGAGTCAGCTTCTTTTGCTGTGTTTCTAATGTCATCTCTTCTGTATAATTCCACCTTTTCTTGTCATACTGTTTCCTGGTAGTTTGCATGGTTACTTATTTTTTTGCTGATGTGATGAAATACACTATTTTTCCTATATGATATTATGATAGTGAGTTACGTCTTGAACAGAACATCTTTTTAAATGTGTGCTTTCCAGAATAATAAATCCTTCCCTTTCCAAAACTAAAATAAATTAAGTGGTAACTTCCTGAGTGACTGCTAACATAGCTGAGTTCCTAGAAATTAAGTCTATTCCCAAGTTCTTCGACCGCATGACATATATCTGAAAATGGTAAGGAAGGTGTCTTCAGTAATGAATATTTCAGTAACTGCAATTTCAAGTTTGTAGAAAACATATAATGTGTAGTATGTGTGTGTAATACATACTCCTATCTCAAGTGCCTTTTACGCTGATAGTGTGATAGTAACATGTCCTTCTAACTTGTTTTTTATTTTAGTAACAGTAGTTATAACTGCAGTTATTTGTTTAGTAACAAATTTCTAAGAGGTATCATAGATTCTCTCACTTAAGATTTTTTTTTTCCCATGTAAATTGTTCTGTCTGTCCCTGCTTTTGTACCTTCTCGCTTTGTTGAATTGTGTTCCTAAAGACACAACTGGGCATACTGCACAAACTTTTTCCTACCAGTTGTAATCAATAAACTTTCCTCTGCAGATTGTTTCTAAGCTGAAGGATGAAATTACTCTGATGGAGAGAGAGCACAGTGACCTTCAGCTACACATTGCAAGAACAGACTGGTGGTGTGAGAATCTTGGCCTGTGGAAAGCCTTCATTGTCTCAGGCGAGGTATGGGGTGTTTATGGCTTTTTACCTTCTGGGTCAGTTCAAACTCGCATGTTGAGAAGAATAAAAACCTGTGTATGCTTTCCTTGTACCTTTGTGTACACTATGAATACTTCGTATTTACTTGGGCTGGGGAAAATATTAACTGTTTTTGAACTCCTCTGTTTCCTCAGTGACTGTGATGCATATACAGAACTTCCAGTCCTCAGGCACTGTTGTAATGGGCTTATAAAAATACCTGCATGTATGTGAACTGGTTTTGGCATTGGGTAAAGTAATTTGCTGTCTTGGGGGCATTGTTTTTCACGAGAACTGTCTCTTGTTCTATTACCATGCTATCACACTTGGGTGCAGTTGTCTCTCTGTAGCGTCTCAAAGATGCAGTTCTTACACTTTGTGTTTCATATTATTATATTTAATAGCAGTGCAGTTTCAAGAGACTAGAACAACCAGAAATAAAGTGCTTTAAATCTATTAATAAGTTAAGGAGAAGGTTGGGTTTTGTTAGTTTTGGGGTTTTTTTTTGATGGGGTTTTTGGGGTTTTTTTTGTCCTGTATTTTATCTTTTGACTGTTGTATTACCATCTTATCACTTTCTAGTAACACTGACCATGAAAGGAACCCAATAACTGCTTGTTATGTAGTAATTGTAGGCTCACACTGTTCATAAGCAATCTTCTTGACAGTATCACTTTAGGTAATTAAAGATTTGTTGGATGTCTACTGGCTTGTCACCTTGTGTTATTAGGAGAATGTTCCTTAAATAAGTATAAGTAGTTTTCTGCTGGTAATTTTTCTTGGAAGAAAAAATTGTGTGTTGCTGAGTTTATTTGGTTGGGCCTTGAGCTCTTGCAAACTATTGATAGGTCTGTCAACAATTAAACTAATTTTCTGTAAATGAAGAAGATCCAACAGGTTAAAAGCACAAGGTGCCATTTTGTGTAAACATCTGGGTTTGTTTTAATGCTATTTGCAAGTGACACAGTTGAGAACAGTGAAGCTCTTAAGTTGTTTTTAAGAGATTTTGAAGTAGCTGTAGCTTTTGAAGTCTGGTTTTAAAAAACAGCAACACTGTGTGCAGCAAAACTGCAGAATGGCAGCTTTCTGGTAAGGGGCACCGTACAGAACAAACTGCCCAGTGTCTTCCTTATTATCAGATCAGAAGGTGGTTCAGCTAAATAAGAGGGTGGCTGAGAAAGGCTTCTAATTACTTGCTGCTTTAACTATAACTTACAAGTAGTACTGGATTAGGTAATTAAATGTAGGCTTGCATTAATTGTGCTGTTTGCAGCTCTGTGCTTTGAAGAGTAGGCTGGAGAAAACATTAATGTTGTTATCCAAGTTAATTAATTGCTCAGGAATGTTCTGTCTGCAGTTGATAATTTCAAGGGGTATGAGTAGGTGACATTGTCTTCCTAACTGGAAGATACGCTGTTGCTAATTCTAGCATGTAGCCCCGTTGATTTTTAGAGAGATAAAAACTTGGTGGCCCTATGATTTTTGCAGAAAAACTCAGTAAAAGTAAATTTTGCTGTAGAATTTGAGCTGAAAGTGTAATAGCCTGTCATTGAACTTTTAAACTGATTTACTGAACCAGTTAATAGATTATACATAAAAAAACAGAATTACTTAAGACTTGGGGAAAAAACTATGTGTCCAAACTGTTGTTTTTACTCTCTTCGCTTGAATCTTTCTTGAGTCATATAAATACACTAGCTGTGTGTGTGTGTGAAATACATAAAATATCAGTGTAAATGGTGTAACCTACAGGTGTGTTTTGGTAACTGATATTTCTGATAAAACCATTTTTGGAGACTCAGTGTTTTGGCTAGTTGGTATAGGTTGGAAAAAAAGAGAGTAGGAACATGCAGAATGCGGGGACCCATGATAACAGCTCATCTAGTTCTGTGAGTCACTTCTCCATGACAGGTATATTCCCTTCCATACCAGCAGGTACAAAACCTAACGGCTACATAACCTAACCTGCTCTACTTGCTTTAATGGTTTTGGCCTTGTAACATTTCATGTTGTAGCAGACTTTCTGCCTCCTCTGTCCAAAGAAAGGAGACTGCATAACACCTTTGTAAAAATCTATTGCTTTCTTAAGGAATTGAATTTTTTGATTTGAGTAAGGTGAAAAAATAGCTTGTCTTACTCATTTAAATATCTTGGAATTCAGGATGTTTATGCTCAGTTAAGAAAATTAGCTTCTTGTTAATTGAGAAAAACGGTGTGCCTGAAACGCCTTCTGCTTGGTCTTTCCATGTTTAAAAGGGACTTTTAAGGGACTGTTTTTTTTAACAGCAGTCTGGTTAGCCCCTGTTTCACTGCTGCACCACTTGGGTGGCAGTTTCAGAGAACTGCTGTGACTGAAGGAAGTTTCTGGTGAGTCATAGAGTTCTTCACTGGATTAAGACTGGGCTAATTTTTGTTAAAGTTTGATCATTCTTGATGGATGTCCAGATCAGCCCTTAGTGCTTCTGACAGGTGATTCAACGGCTTTCCTTGACAGCTTGTTACTTTACTAAATTATTATTACCACTTTTGCTGTTAAGTGTACATTTTACCTACTGCAGCCAATAGCTATAGCTTCTCTTGGAAAGCTTTTAATAATATTTGTTCCTCGGTTGTTTTTGCAATATTTAATTTCTTACTGTTACCACACCACACATCTCAGTAGGAGATGCTCACCTCTGGTGTTTTTATTAATAGATGCAGGTGTGTCAGCATCCCTGTTTGTATCTCTCTCTATCCACTTTGGGACTTTTTCCCTTATAGGGAGAAAGTTACAAACCTTTACCCTTTGTGGACTGGGTATCTGTGGCATGCTGGTAGACAGTAAATTGTGAAATAATCTTTATATGGTCTTGAGGCTATGGAGTTGCTGCCAATGCAAAACAAAACAAAAACCAAAAAACTAATAGCCTGAAGCTGCTTTGGGTACTTGAGAGCTGATTCTGTCCTTCCTAGCTAAATAGCAGTGACTAACCTGAAAGATTCACTTGTAAATTGAGGAAAGGGGCTGAGGAGGAGACTTGTGGAAATGCCTTTGTAGGGGCTAATTCTGAGAGCACTTGCCAGTGCTGTGGAATGATCAGGGCTGAGACTATCACAGGACCTTTGAACTTGTGAAGCCAAACCAGAGCACAAATGTTAAGCTTATGCTCCTGAAAAATCAGAGTTGGAAGAGGGTTAGGATGGTTCTCAAAAAAAAAATGGATGATTTTTAGGATGGGAGTGATAGAAGTGTGGTGAAATCTCACAGCATGGCATGCAAGGTTTAGCATTTAGCAGGACCTCTGGGCTTTGGCTCTGGCCCATTAGAGCACCTTTTGGCTGAAAGCAGTAGATGTGCTGGTGACTTGTCAGATGTGCAGTTTGTCTTTATTGGGTTGCAGGTGTGAAAAAGGCAAATGTGGCCCTTGAATACATCAGGAGAGGAGTTTCCATTTGAGACGAAGTGTGACAGTTACTCTGCAGGTGCTGGGCTGTTGTGTTTGAAAAAGATAGAGTTGAATGGATTGAATGAGGAACTTCTCCCATGAGAAGTGATTGCAAAAGCACTTCCTTTGGCTTAGCTTAGCAGAAGGGATACTCAGAGGATTGAGGCCATCTCTAAAACATCAATAAGGGTAAACATAAGGGAGGGGTGAAGAGTTGTTGGAACAAATGGGAAATGAGTTTGGATATTGAAAGGAAACTTCCAGTAACTAGAGTGAGGGTCCAGAACAGACTTTTAATGTATGGGGATGGAAAAAAAATAAATTTCACAAGTTTGAGTTCATTCATGATAGCAGTTGTATGAGATGGCACCTGTTACAGCAAAGGACTAGATTTCCTGGTTCAGAAGACCCCATAACATCCCATTTTTCTATGTATTTTCCAGTTGACTCATTAATTTGGAAAAACAAATGCACGAGTACTTAAGTTGGTTAAAAATTTTGCTTTCTTAAGAAGGTCCTGAAGACTTTCAGATATTCATATGAGAGTGTTTGAAGGAAGTTGTAATGGTTCTCCATCTAGTAATTAGAATTTAAATGATTTTGCATATGGATCCTAAGTTGAAAGCTGAAGGAGTAAAAGTCCTTCCATTTTGAGAATGTCCTTCCAGAGGGATGAGACTCTCCTGACAGTTCAGATGACCCTACACACATGCAAATCCCTGCCCTGGACTCATGTGTAATGGAGAATGTTACACATTACTCAAATCAGCATTTTCAACACTGATCTCCCAGTTTTCAAGAGCAGCTGCTCAGAGGTGTTTGTGAGTCACCTACAAACACAAATCCAATCTAGCTCAGAGGCAGACAAGGCAGGGACTGCCCCAGGAGATCCCAGTCCCTCTGTGCCAGATTCCTCTGACCTACATTTTGGAGGCTATTCAAGCATCTCTTTCTGGAGTAGTCTGTCAGGAGAAAGGCAGTTCCCCAAATAGCTGTGCTGGGAGCCAGGCACATTTTCAGACTTTGGAGCTGGTGCTCTGTGTTCTGTCCGGGTGCTGCTGCAGCCTTTTTGAGAGATGTAAAACCTGGGCCTCAGACTGGGTTTACCAGTGGTCTGTGTGCAGCTTTGGGAGGAGTGCATTGCAGGGAATATTCTCCATGTACAGCTCTGAACAGCTGTAAAATATGAAGATACATTTTAGCTGTGTGTCTTTTACAGTGGTGATGTAGCTGCTCATCAAATTATCTGTCACTGGCATTAAGTGTTGTCAGGCCTTTACAGGCTTCTCAGAAAATGTGTCATAATTATAGGAATTTTAAAGTTTATTCTTATCCTAATTGGATTAATTAAATACTCTTAAAAAAAAAAAGCATTCAAATAATTACTTTCCTCAAAAAGATTGTGTGAGAGTGGTATTTTATAATTACCTTTCTGTTATTTGCATGTACATTAAGAGAAGCATTTGAGAGCTTGGCTTGGCCACAAAAAGCTATGTATTTTAATGCATTTCTCTTATTTGTTTTTCATAATCTATTTGGCTGTCTCCTTAAAATAAGTAAACAAAACTCTGTTAACATTAGGAAAGAAGGTGAAATTCTGGTGTCTCATCAAATAAAGAAATAATACGGTTGCACTGCTACCGTTGTCTCAAGAAAAATCGTTTAACTTCTTAGCTGTAGTTTTCCCATTTGCACACTGTGGTCAATCACTTCTTCCTCTGGCTGTTGTACAGCTCAATTCATTAGTATTTCTGTAAAGTTGTGAGCCTCTCAGAAATAAACACCTCATGGATGCCACGTGTTCTGTGCAGGCAGAATAGCTCAAGTGAGCAGAGGAGTTGGTTTGAGACAGCACAAGCTGCCTTAGGGCCCAGCTGCAGCGCTGCTGTGCCTGGAGTGTGGGTGAGTCTTGGCACGAGCACTGGGAAAGAAGGGTGGGAATAATGGGAGAACAATCAGGAACATGCAGACAGGAGAGATGCAGTATTGGTCAGCAATCCGAAAGCTACATGGTAGGTACCTTAAAAACTGAAATAATGCGCACAGCTGTTTGAAGAAGACATGTCTGGAAGATTTAATTGCTGATGGACAGCATTGCAAAGCTGTATATACAGTATAACAGTGGCTAGCTGGAGGACTGAACCAGGACTGATGTAGCATTTTGGGTAAAGTTTAGTCCATTAAGGGTACTGCTACATGTGTAGCCTTCAAACTGCACATGAAGCATGGGACAGTGATAATGACTGAGTTTGCAAGTCAGTTATCTGGCAGCCCAAATGTTCCATTGTTTGCTTTCAAAGAAGTATAGTATACCTTATCTGTTGGTTTCTTCCCCACAGGTTTTAGAAGAGAATGGAGAACAAGTGCCCTGTTACTCTGTCATGGTGAGTTTACAAGAAGTTGGTGGAGCTGAAACTAAGAACTGGACTGTTCCCAGGAAGCTCAGTGAGTTTCAGAACCTACACCGGAAACTCAGTGAGGTACGAATCTCGGTTAGGGGAGGAAGAAGATGCAAATAGCTAAAATTTGTGAGAATGATGCTTGGAGAGGGGAAAGCCAGATTAAAATTTAATATTGCCAGTATTTATGCCAGCATTTTTGGCTTTTAGCCTTTTAGAGCTAGTTTTCTATCTGCATATTTCTGGCCTCTGCCAGATGTTTATAATTTTTTTTTTTTTTCCTTAGTAATGAATGTTTTACTTGACTAACCCAATGTCAAAATGGTGTATGCTCTGCTCTGTCATGCAAAAGCCTGCTTTAAAGACTAGATTTTTGTCTCTGTCTTCCAGGGAGGTATTAGAAAAGACGGCTTTTGGGGACAGAGGAGGTTTCCTTTTACAGTGCTTTAACTTTTCTGTCTGATAAGGAACAGATGATGGTGGTGGCGTGAAGGGAAAGGGTTTAGATGTGTCAGCCCATAGTGGGTAAGGCAAGGTGTTTTTCAGAGTGCTGAGGGGGGTGTGGAAGGGACATGAGAGTACAAAGAAGTCTTTTCATTTCTGTTCTGAACCACCAGTGTCTTTCTGCATGTATATGTTAAGTGAGCTCTCCTCTCTCCTACAGTGTTTTCCATCATTAAAGAAAGTTCAGTTGCCTTCCCTCAGCAAGCTGCCCTTCAAATCCATAGATCAGAAATTCATGGAGAAATCCAAGAACCAGCTTAACAACTTTCTGCAGGTAAAAAAAAAAAAAGACAAAAACAACAGATGTCTAAACAGGAGAATTGAATCATGCCTCTGGAGTGGGTGTTGTCTCTCTATTGACTAAAGAGAGAGCCTAGAACACATAGGTCAGCTGTAACATTTGCTGCTATAAATGTCAGAAGTTGAGATGAGTTTGGCTGATAGTAATAATTCCTCTAGTGGTAAGTTAATTTAAACTTTAATTAATAAATAATAATTAATGAATCCTGTAATTGCCTCTTTTAACTACAACACTTCACAAGAAATGTCTTACAAATTAGAACTTTTTTTATTTTAAAAGAAATTTGTAAGATTAAAAACTTTAATCTTACTAGTTCTAATACTTTAGAACTAGCTTCTTAAAGTATCTTTGAAGTATCTTTGTGAGAGACATGGATTTTTTTTCTAACTCTACCTCTGAGCTCTGTCTTAATCAGTTTTATTGGATGACCTGTCACATCTTGTTCCTTAACAAGAAATATTTAATTGATGTATTGTTTCTGTCATTATTTTTCTTTCATAGAAATTACTCTCTGATGAAAGACTCTGCCAGAGTGAAGCACTTTATGCCTTCTTGAGCCCTTCCCCAGAGCACCTCAAAGTTATTGATGTGCAAGGAAAGAAGTCATCTTTTTCACTCTCCTCATTTCTAGAACGACTTCCTGGTGATTTGTTTTCTCATCAGGAGGTAAGTGGCAGAAAAGTAATCTGCACAAATTTAATTACTTATCCAAAGTGGCAGGTAATATTGGAAGGCATTTCCAGAGGTCACTTTTAATTTACTATATGTGAACAAAGAGTCAGAAATAAGAGCTGTCTATGAATTTAAAAAGTGTTTATTAATAAAAGTACTTTCCTGTCCTTTGATAAATATATATAGGCAAATATGTAACCTGTCACAAGTAAGTGAATTGTGGTCCATGTGGAATTGTTTATTTTTTATAGCAGAATTCCCACTTTTTGTGCTTTTGGCATGCGCATTTCAGACGGTTTTTGACAGGTAAAAATAGTTCTCTCTTAGAAAGCTTCTCTTGGCAGGGAATGGGTGTGTGTCCTTAATAATCTCTGGACAACTTCTGAAGCAAAGCTGGTTTTGGTAAAGAATTTTGGTAAGTGGTGCAGGCTTACTGAGGGAATTTGCAAATACAGGCAGGAGCCAATGTGGGCAAACCAGTTGGAGAATTTGATACTAAGCCATAAAAAACCACTGTCTTTCAAAACACAATGAAGAATAGATTAGTGACTAAAATAGCTCATTGACTAAAACTGATCATAGTTCCATGGCTCTCTGTTCTGTGTGGTTCATGCTGCAGATATGCAGCCTCCAAGGAGCTGTTTCTGATCCCCCTTTTAGTTGCACGTTATGTGCAATAATTCTTTCGTTACATGCTGTAGTTGTCTGCAGTGGATGGGCCTTCTAATGGATAGTGGATAAATGAGGTATGGGGAACTTGTACAGTTCTGTCCTATTAATAGGCAAAAAATTGGTCTTGCATCTCTCAGGAGTAAGAAAATCCTATATCTTTTCATTTTTCAAAATTGCACTGTATTTGTGCCTAGATGCTGAATGCATATGTCTCATTTCAGAGTAATAAATATAAAGAAAGTTTGAGAAACTAATTTTACACTTTGGTAGAAGTACTGCAGTTCTAAAAACAAAAGTGTGTTCACTGAAATAACTGTTAAAAGCACAGGAGCATGAAGCTATTTGTATTTCACTATTTAATTGAAAAGCATCCTCAAGAAAAAAGCCAGACTGCATGTATATTGTATTATGTGAGTGTGTAGGTAGAGATAGGAAATAAGGGAGAAGGAAAGGGAGTTTATAATGAGAGTGCGTGAAAGAGGAGAGAGAACAAAGAAATAAAGCAGAAATGAAGCAGCTGGTACTGAAAAACTGAGGGAAGTAGAGCAACAAATGCACAGAGAATGTAGCAACAGGAGTCGGAACATAACTTCTTACTCCATTTAAATTTAATGCTATTACTTGTTACTTGTGGGCCTAGGAGCTTAATTTTGGCTAGAGTATATTATGCCAAGCACTGTGCAACTGCAAAGACCAACTCTGCTTCCCTCTCCTCTCCTTCCCCTAAGCTTAAACATAAGATGAGACAACAGAATACAGATGGAGGGAGTACAGGAAACTGTTAGACCCTCTGAATCAGTATGGCAAATGTTTGTCCTCGTTAAAAAATAATGATAAAATTAAGTGGAGGGAGGGGAATTGTGAGGCGGTCTGGGGTCAGCTCTAATTTTTCTTGGACACCCTTGTCTTTCAATGTGAGCTTTAGATCAGCTCAGTCTTGCCCGATGACAGTAGTTACTAAAGCAGTTAAATTAGGGTTAAATAATTTGGTATGAGTTTATTCATTAAGTTAGTTGTGTTAAACCACACATTACAAACCTGTTATAGTTGTGTTCTCTTTGTAACTAAGAATTTGTGGTTTAGTTTGTATTTTGGACTTTGTAGAAGAGAATGCTTTCATACAGCTCTCCCTTTGCCTTTTACATCTCATCTTACGTTTTTCAAATATGCATTAGAGCAACAATATTACCTCTTAAGTGCTGTTTTCGGGATTAGATACTGCAGCAATTTCAGGTCTCTTATATATACAGCTCCTTGGACAGGGATGGCTTTAGAGCATATTTCTTAGCTCACAAGACCAAAACCAAATCAGAGAGAAAATGCAGTTGATATCATCTAGAGGAAGGGCTTTTAGGTTTATGAAGTGTTGATGGATAGAAAATGTGTTTACACTTCTCATTGTGTTTTCTGAATGATAGGGGATTCACTGAGCACCTGAAAAATAGAGCAAGGAGCTTGGAGAGGTCACAGGGTTTACCCTCCTGCTCCAAGCAGACTCAACTGTATCAGCAGAATTCTTGTCAGTGTTCATCCAGCATGTTTTCAAACCTCTAACTGGTGTTCCCTAGCCAAGCAAGGCACCATATCCCAGTTCTCAGCTATCTTCATGGTCAGAAACCTCTTCTTACTGTCTAACTTAAGTTTCCTTTCTTTAGCTAGCTCGTCTTACGTGCAGCAAACAGAATGGTTTGGGTTAGGATCATCTAGGTTATCAGGGTTTACTACTTTCCTTTTGTCTTTTATTTCTTAGACTGAGCAGCCCCAGTTTCTCCTAGTTTTTGTTAGGTTATGCTTTATTTAGTTCTTACGGTTTTACTTGGGACAATTATCTGTATTTTCCTCAGAAATGTAGTGACTAAAATTTGAAACACAATGGTCCCATTAGGTTTTCCTATTCCCACATTTTTCTATCTATATGTGTATGTATGTCATACAAACAATGTTCATGCTTAAACATCTTGGTATTACACTTGGCTTTTCCACAGCAGTATGGCCCTGGGATCTTTCTCTGCAGTCTTATCAGTAATTGTTTTGTTTCCTGCATTTGCACAATGAGTTGTTGCTGCTTTGCATCTGTCTTTACCAAACTGCACCCTGTGGGCTCAACTACAGATTCAGTAAACTTATTTTCTGTTCTGTTGCCCAAGTACTTAATGAAAATATGGAATCATGTCTACTAAGAAAAATTAAATAAAACAAAATGTATTGAATAATTAAAATAATGAAGGGCCAAGAAGCCTGTTGACCAGAGGGAGATAGTGAGCAGGACTGGAGTTTGCTTTAGACTGTGTCCCTGGAGAAATCTCTGTTGTTCATCATCAGTGAATTTGTGTGCTTGTGTGGTAAGATGCATAATGATTTGTGGTTTCCTTATGTGGTATTTCTTGTCAGTATATTGTGGCTTTTTGTTCCCTGCCCTTAGCCACAGCTTAGCCTAATATTAGCAGAAAGCTTTAAAAGCTGGGGACTCAGCAAGCTATGAAATTCAGTAAACAGGGGAGTCTACGTGGACATTCACAGGGCACTTCAGTGCTGTGGGGTTTTTTCTTTTCTTTTTCTGGTTATGAGGAGAGAAGCAGCATCTTGAGCAGCGCTAGAGAAAATGCCAGATGTGACACAGGGAGTGAAGGGTACAGGATATGTAATTGTTGGAATGTGCAACACTGTGGAGTTACTTATTTATAGCCTACTGTGCAGTGCCATGCCTGGAGAAGATTCAGGGACTGGAAATGGACCCGAAGTCAATGGTGGGTACATTTGGGAGGGTGTGAGAAAGGAGTAAGAGAAGCTGATGTACAGCTGAGGCACTGTGGGATGCTCTATGTATATCAGAGTTCAAAAGACAGACAAGGGATGACTGAAAGATTGTGACCATAAGAATAGGGCTAAGAAAGACACCAAAATAATGCAGGGGAAATAGAGCCATGAAGCAGGTTTTCCAGACCAGCTTATGAGGGGAGGCGGGGAGAAAAAGCAGTATTAGATGATGGAATGGTAGGGAAGAACAGAAAACAAAGGAAGAGATGATAGATTTCTTTGAAAACCAGGGCTGTAGAAAGAAAATTTGCCTCTGCGTGCCATTCTGACCATTCCTGAACCAGGGGCTGTGGCATTGCACCAGCCTCAGTGGGGTCAGGTCTACCTCACTACGGCTTTGCTCTAAGCATAGGCGGGCAGGGGAAGATCCAGGAAAGCAGAGAGATGTGCTGGCTGCCACAAGTAATGGCACGTGGTGTAGTCCTGATGCTGAAGCACATCTCCACAATACTGAGCAACAACCGCCAATGGTACTGCCAAAACTGAGGTGTTTCAATCCATTCTTCTCCTGTGAGTCTATTCTGAATAACTCTACTCCCTTTGGTACCCTGAGCTCATATCCTCAGGCTCAGGTCACTAAGTGTCATCATATTATGCTTCTGCTTGGGACTAGTACTTATTAATGGTGCTCATCTTTGCAGTGTCCAGTTCCTCTTCTGTGGATGGGTTTGGTTCCTGGCTTATTGCAAGGACAACTTGCTGGTACCTGATTCTGCTGAGTGGCTTCAGCTGTGCAAGGCCCTGTCTGCTTTCTGGGGGAACCAGCTACCTGCTTCACCCTATGCAATAACCAGATTCCCCCACCTTCTTCCTAGCTGCTTGCGTTGCAAACAGCTCCAGCTGCCTCGCTCCCCGTCCTGGATATCCTTCATGGGTTGTTGTGTCAGAGGAGGCTTTGCAATCACAAACACCTTTGAGTACCATCTCCTTATAGTTTTCACAGTACTGTTTCCTAGCAGTACTTGGCTACCAGAAGATCTAGCAGTGATGATGACTACAGCAGTGCAGAGTGTCCTCATCACTCTTGTCTGATGGAAGTGCAATCCCTTTTCAGACTCCTTGGTGAGGTTCCTGTTTACCAGATACTGTCAGCAGCAGAGTTGATGGTTCTAATGCCCTTTCCTGAGAGGGCTGCCTGTGCTCCTTCCGCAGAGCATGGCAGTGACTAAATCTGTTCTGGAAGGATGGAGAACTGCAGTGCATACCCATGTTGTGTCTCTCTTCCTAGGAAGAAACAGAAGATGATAGCGACCTGTCAGACTATGGAGAGGAGGTGGATGGGAAAAGGGACTCTCTTGCTGAACCATGTTTCATGCTGATTGGAGAGATTTTTGAGCTGCGAGGAAGTAAGCTGTAAACCTGCTTATTTGCTAGTGGAATCTATTGGCCAAGAAATCTGGGGCACTTTGTAATTCAGATTTTTCTGCCGTTTCAATAAGTGGAGCTCTTTTTGCAATCTATATAGCTGGTTTGTTTGGAACAGAGCTGTTCTTTACTAGTTCATAACTTCGGTGCTTTCATTCAAAAGTGAAATTCTGATATACCATGGCAATGAAAATGTAACTGGCAGGGAGAGCATTTGCATTCAATATCCTTAAGTTTTTCATTAAAAAAAACCAAACCTGGAAAAACCAGAAAAGTGCAAATGTAAGTTTTCTGTAAATAGGCTGCATGTTACAATGTATGAATCATGAGGAAGGAAAATGTCTTTATTACAGAACATGTCACTGACAAAGCAACATAATTTTAATGTCCATTTTAAGTGTATTATGTATGCCTACCACTTCTACAGTTTGTATAGTGGAAAAGATGCTAGAATTGTGACATCTTTCAGTACCAGATTTTTTTTTCCTCCTTTATGTAACTGAATGAAGGTAATAAAGAAACTACTTTTGTTTCTATTTGAATGTGCAGCCACACTTGATGCCCTATAAAATTATTTACAGGGGAACTATTACAAAATGCAGCACCTTCCAAAAATGGCAGATGTATCTTCCAGATACAGACTTTCTTGTGCTGATGGTGAACAGCATGAAAGAAAGATTAACCAGTAATTACTAGGAAGCACTCACATTTGTTTCCCTTATTTGTAATAAAAAGCTAACTGCTTAGTTTATTTGAGTGAAAATGTTTTCAGAATTTTAGTGATGCTGCTGTGTGTATACCATTATACTAGTAGGTATGAAAAGGGTGTGAATATTGAGGGGCTTTCTTTTTTTCTAGTAGATAAAGGGTTTTAGGTAGTTGTATGGCTCAATAAACTTGAAATATTCTTCAACGTAAAAGTTTACAGTTTAAACTACAAGTGCATATTACAGATATGTTTATGTAATCTGCAGGACTTGAAAACAGTATAGCAAACAGTCCAGGGAAGGCAGTCAAGAAAAATAAGATCCATGTACAGTTAGTGGAATCTTACAAAGCATTATAAGTGATGTGTTTACTGTAGGGGTGGGCTGCTTTTATGGGAGGGGGGCAGGGGGGAAGGTTTTGGACGTGACCATGGGTTCCCTAATGCTATTAGCCTCCTGATCTTTATTTTCTGTCATTTTCCAGTGTTCAAGTGGGTCAGGAAAACATTAATTGCACTAGTACAGGTCACTTTTGGAAGAACTATCAACAAGTAAGTATCTGTTACTTTAACTGAACCTGCATCATTGTTCTGTTGAAAAAAAGGCTGAGAGCAGAACTGTTAAAAAAAAAATCTGGACATTCTGTTGTATATGATAATATGCATTTGATTCCTACAGCTCAATTTAGAAATATGTTATGTTGATTGGAGAAGGCACAGATATGCGAATTACCTTTTTCCTTATTTTTTCCCCTACACAGGACTTTGCTTTTGGAAGAACACAGTATTTAATGGGATATTCTTTTTAATACTTGTATAGATTTATTTATGTACATACATAAAATATTACTTGCTATGCTGTTTTTCTGAACAGCCTGGCTCTGAATGGCTTTTATTAGCTTGTGCTTTGTCTTAGAGCCCCATGAAAATTTTTGCCAGATCTGAAACTGAGTTTCTGTTTTAAGTAATTTCTTTCAAATCGAATACATATTTCTCTGAAGTAACTGAAATGTTTATACACGATGAGAATCATTAACTTGTAATGTGAAACCTGTACCTGTGTAACAGTGATGTGTTTTTATAAAGGTGTTTTTCTGTATCATTTGAAGACACACCTGCCAAGTGAGGCCTGGATAAGGCTGTGAAGTAAGTGTGTGTCTGTACACACCTTTCATGTGGAAAGCTGCATCATTGCTCAGAAAAATTTTAGAGAAGTGTTCCGTTTCTTGTCAGATACAAAGACTTACAGTAAAACTTGATTCAATAGAGCAGATGATTGATACAAACACATTTCTCATGACTCTTCGATCAGTACTGATGCTCTCAAGCATGATGAAGTTTTGCTGATGGGAGGCTATGAATCTGTGATTTCTGTAGCACATTCACATAGGCAAAGGGCCACCAGGAATCTGATGAAATGCATTGTTTTGCGTTGGTGTAGCAGTGGGACTATTACCCAGGTAGGTGTCACAGCCCAGAAAGGTACCAGCAGAACAGGCTGTTCCTTAGTCCAGTCAGTGACTAAATTTGCACCTGCCAGCGTGGCTTTTCAAACCTCCCACGTATGTTCTGTAGCAGTAAATTGGACGAGAAGCGATGGGAAGTCACGCAGTTGACTCCTGGTGAACTGATGGTCTCTGACAGTATCTGTTTGCTGCGTTTTAAATCAATCAGTTCATTTGTTCACACACTACTGATAACTAGCGTGAAAGACACCAGGGGCACGACAAAGAGAGTCTGTGCGTGAGCACAGCATACACGCAAAGTTGCTACAGAGCTTTTTACCTGTTTGTTGAATTTTTACATTTCTTGATCTTAAGGTTTTTGGCTGTACTGTGGCACAGTGAAGCAGTGTTGCCTGGAGCCTGCTGTCTACCTCAGACTCTTTGTGCTGAAGGCTACACTGAGTGCCTGCAGCCACAGGAGGAGGCTGCTCTCTCCATCTGTAATCCCTTCGCTAATGTGCTGTTGGTATCTGTGAGGGAACTTGCTGTTTTAATTGCACCAGGCACGGCTGTGCATGCAACTAGTTTGGAGTGCCCTGCAATTAGTGAGCTATTTTTATGTCTTTACCCAGTGGAGGCTTTGTTCTGCCCATCCTTGAAATATATATACACATTTCAGTGTAGTACTTGTAATTCATAATACATTCGTAATGTTTGTGGATTACATTGAAATGTAGCCTTCTCCACATCTCAGTCAGGTATCTGGAGTGATCTAGATCCTAGAGCACCCAGAGCTGAATACGACTTGCTGTGATGCTGATGAAATCAGCTCATATTAATTGGGATAATTATGTGAAAATGAGCATTGCTTCCACTATTTTCAGGAGTAAAAAGAATAAATCTGCATAAAATGTGAAAGACCAGCTCTGATGTGCTCCCTCCTACACTTCTTTACAGGCAAATCCGTGACACTATACACTGGATGTTCAGTGAACCAATGCTTGTTTACTACATTGGTGTGTTTCGAGATGCTTTTTGGCCAAATGGAAAGTTAGCACCACCGCCGAGAGCCAAGAGCGATGAACAAAAGCAAGAGACAAAACAGAGAGCACAGCAAAAACTACTTGAAAACATTCCAGGTGAGATCACTTTCATTCTGCTTAATCGTGGATGTAATAACTAGTAAGGAAACTGGTTAATCAAATACTGTTCTACTGGATTTTAGATTTTTCCTGTAGAGATATAAGTTATGGTTATTTGCATAAATAAGGATAATTTTGGCCTTATTCTTTGCCTCTCCTGTCTGTCTGGTAAGGAGCATGGATTCGAGTACTGAAGTTTGCGCCCATCAATAATATTGTACTTCTTGTCTATATGTAATGTTCATCAAGGAACCTAAGTTAAGTCACAGAATCACAGAATGGTAGGGGTTGGAAGGGACTTCTGGAGATCATCTAGTCCAACCCCACTGCCAAAGCAGGTACATCTAGAGCAGGTTGCACAGGACTGCATCCAGGTGGGGTTTGAACATCTCCAGAGAAAGGGACTCTACAACCTCTCTGTGCAGCCTGTTCCAGTGCTTTGTCACCCTCACAGTAAAGAAGTGTTTCCCTCATCTTCAGATGGAACTTCCTATATTCCAATTTGTGCCCACTGCCCCATGTACCATCACTGAGCACCACTGGAAAGAGTCTGGCCCCATCCTCTCGACACCTGCCCTTTAGGTATTTATAAGCATTGGTAAGATCCCCTCTCAGTCTTCTCTTCTCCAGGCTAAACTGATCCAGCTCTCTCAATCTTTCCTCATAAGAGAGATGCTCTAGTCCCCTACACATCTTTGTAGCCCTCCACTGGACTCACTCCAGTAGCTCCTTGTCTTTCTTGAACTGGGGAGCCCAGAACTGGACACAGCACTCCAGATGTGGCCTCCCTAGGGCACAGTAGAGAGGGAGGATAAGCTCTCTTGACCTACTGACCACACTATTCTTAATGCACCCCAGGATACCATGCCTTCTTGGCCACAAAGATGCATTGCTGGCTCATGGTCAACTTGCTGTCCACTAGGACTCCCAGGTCCTTCTCAACAGAGCTGCTTTCCAGCAGGTCAACCCCCAATCTATACTGGTGCCTGGGGTTACTCCTTCGTACGTGTGGGACTCTACACTAGGTTCCTTTCTGCCCAGCTCTCCAGCCTATCCAGATGTCACTGAATGGCAACACAACCTTCCAGTGCATCAGCCACTCCTCCCAGTTTTGTATAGCTGGCAAACCTGCTGAGGGTACACTCTGTCCTGTCATCCAGGTCATCAATGAATATGTTGAACAATAATGTGTTCATTGATGAATTCACTGATGGATGTGTTGAACCCAGTACTGACCCCTGGGTGACACCGCTAGCTACGGGCTTACAGCTAGACTGTGTTGCTGATGACAACCCTCTGAGCTCTGCCATTGAGCCAGTTCTCAATCCACCTCACTGTCACCTCATCTAACCCACACTTCCTAATCTTATCTATGAGGATATTATGGGAGACACTGTCTAAAGCCTTGCTGAAGTCAAGTAGACAACATCTACTGCTCTCCCCCCATCTACCCAGCCAGTCATGCCATCATAGCAGGCTATAAGATTGGTCAAGCATGATTTCTGCCTGGTGAATCCAGGTTACACTCCTGGTAACCTTCATTTCCTCAAACTCAAGACTCTGCTGGTTCTCTCTGAGCAAATACCAGGTAGTTCTACTACCTGGAACTATTTGACAAATAGGGAGAATGACACTACCCCAATTACTTCTTCCTCTTATATTTCAAAATTGAAGAGGGAGGTCTACCCACGCTGTCAATGTTGCGTGTTGCTGTCTGCTTCTTGTAGGAGGTTTCAGGGCACTGAATATTAGAGGGACCTGCAGCCTGGGTAGAATACATCCTAGATTGAGTGGAGTTTCCAGTGGTTTCCTTTGCCTAACCTTGCCTCCCAGGCCCAGGCAGCTTCCTCTTCAGTATGCATGCTTCTAGGGCACTGTTCTGAGATGCTCCATCCTGTCCCCTTCACAGGACAGGGAGTCCAGTTACATAGTTCTGACTCTTCAAAGATCATGTAAACCCAAAGGCACCTAACTGGGAAGAAACAAAATACATTAATTCCCTTCAGTTATTGGAAATGCATTTAAACATAGCTCGAACGCTTTTTCTCTCCCCTCCATCGGAACAGAATGTACTTTAATGAGCTCTTTTGTGGCTTCACTGAGTTATCTCATATACCCCCTTGCATTAGGTTGTTTGTTTAATCAACTTTTACTGCAAAAATAGCAGGAAGTATGCATACAAAATACTCATTACTTGATGTGTAAACAATCCTCCACTTACTCTCTATGTTATATACTCACCTACTTACCTAGAATACCCTTCCTTAGTTGGTTTGTGGTTTTGTTTGCTTTTGAGTTTGGAGAGATATGTCAGGACATAGCTGAATGCATTTTAAATTAATGATGAAGTGTTGAATCATTATTTATTCTCAAATTTAATCCAAAATGTAAATAATTGACTTAGAATTCTCCTACCTGCTTACTTGTGGGAAGTGATTTCTGTGAAGATTGAGAGGCAATTGACGTGTTAAATCTGTTTTAACTGTTGCAGGAATTCTATCTTTGTGTCTGAAGATGCATTTAAGTAAATGGTTTAATAATGTATGAGATTGGACTTGTTTCTGCAAGGTGAACTACGTAAAAGGCATACTGTATATCATCTTAAAACACTTAAAATGTTGTCACTGAGATGCATACACTATTATTTAACTTGGGTAACTTGAGAATAAGGGTATCAACCTGTGACCCAAGTTGCCTGTGTGTTTTTGAAAGGCTGGTGAATGGGGACCATGGATCTTGTAACTGAGGGCCATGAAGTGCAGTGGTTTTTTTTCCCCTCCTTTATGGGGTAGTAGGTTAGCTGGAGGCTTTGCCTAGCATGAGTGAAACAGTATGAGCTGAGGTAATGTTTGTTGCAGATACGCTGCAGAGTCTTGTTGGACAACAAAATGCTCGTCATGGCGTAGTGAAGGTGTTCAATGCGTTGCAAGAAAGAAAGGCTAACAAGCATCTACTCTATGTGAGTAACCAGAAGAATACCCTTTTAACTTTGTAATCCCATTAACTGCTGAGCTAGAGTCACTCAGTAGTAAAGCCCGGGATGTTTGTTTTTGCAGAGATTTATGTTGGACTGTTTTTCTGTGTGCAAGGAACTTTTTTGTTATTAAAGTGTCAGCAAAAATGTACTTGGTTCCATCATTTGACTAATTTTGAATAACAAAAAGCTGTTTTAAGTTTGAAAACAGTATTGCTTTTGTCTAAAAGAGGTCCTCTGTGACATCCAACTTGCCCGACTTCATAAGTTGCAAACTAATTTCTTCATGTAGCTGAGAAAAATAAACATACCTTGGAGAATCCTAGAGAAGGAGAGCTCCAGGACTGGCTCACAGTAAGGACATTACAGCTCTCCAGAAGTCCCACTCCCCTACTGTTGGTTGGGACTGATTGGAGTGTACAGCTGGATTCAAGTATAATACCTTCACTGTCGGTCTCCTCTGGCTCATTTCCTTCAGCAGTCGCGTAACACAGCCTCAGCAGAGAAGCGGACACGGCCTGCTCAGGGGGTCCGTGCCCTGGTGCTTGCTGATGTAGATACTCTGGCTTTGACAGAACAGCATCAGGTTATACCAGGTGGGAAATGCCCACCTGAAAGCAGCTGCCTGTGGCCCTTGCCTTCTTTCAGCCTTAAGATATTTCCCATATTGTCTGTAGGGTGCATGCTATCTGTAGGGTGAAAGAAAAGTAGTTATATGAATGATGAGTAGAATGACCCTGCTTGCTTCTGTTATCTGTGATGCTCTGAATATGTCAGAAAGGAAGAAGAAACTCTCATTTGGCGCCTGAGCTCATCGTAACTCTTTTCTCTTTTTCAGGTTTTGCTGGAACTGCTGCTAACTGAACTGTGTCCTGAGCTAAGAGCTCATTTAGAGCAGCTTAATGCCACTTAGGTTTGAATCTGCACAATTGGACCACTAGAGAAATGTCTATGTCCAGTAATAGACATGAAACTTATTTTCCTCTTTTCCATAGAGGGCTGAGGACTATGATTATTTTTAGCGTTTTTCTTTCCTCTTGAGTTTTTTGTGAAGTAAACAGACTTGAAAAGATCTGATGCTGTAGTAGGGTAGACAAAACAATGCTGTATAGTTGCCAATTTTTATTTAAATGGTTCTATTTGACTACTCTTCTGTTTCAAATATAGATTGAAAAATAAATGTTCATATAAGCTGAAAGAAACCAGAAAATATTTTAAACATTTATGAAAAGAAATTTTGCTTATAGTGGTAAACTAATGAATGTTGTACAGTTCTAATTTCCTCACTGAGGATTTGAGCATTCCTTTTTTCTTGTGTATTGAAAAAGCCTTGTCGTGCAATACTACACGTAAAGCTATTGTGAAAATTTTATCAATTTTGTTTTTACCAAAGATTTCCCGTAGTTTGAAGCATTTGTAAGCAATAAATAACACAACTGGATTGCAGTACTTGATAATGTGGCTGTACTGGCAACGAATGAATGAGTTTGACAGCACTGGTTTCGTAAGGAATATTTACGTTACTTTGAAGTCTGTGTCGAAAATATGTATTGTAAACTGGTATGTCCTAACAGAATGCCCGTGTTAAGTGTTAGTTCAGAGTTTAGTGCTTATGAATTGCTTCTATGAATGATTAAATAGACATTTAATTAAACCACACTAATAACTTCCCTGATATTACTCAGGGCTGTTTTATTCAAATACCCCAATTTCAAACAACCTTCAGATCTTTCCCTTATTTTATACATGGAAAGAAAATGATGTCTTCAGTGTTTTTTTAATTTATGTAAAAATATGTAAATATGGTCTTAATGCACATCTAAATAATTAAACATCATCAAAAATCCCTAGGTGACACTCATTATTTTAAATTCAGTACAATTGTGCTCTTAGAAAAACTGCTTGCAGTTAAGACTGGCTGTAGCTTAAGGTACACAAAACCTGTATGCTATATTTAAATCAGTGTTTTTAGTAACATCTAGATGCCTGCTCCAACAGTTTCAAAAAAGTTTTCAAGTCACGGCACAGTCCTACGAAGCAAGCCAAATTCTGCACATTTGAAGCTTTGTAAGTAAATCTGTATTTCGAAATGTGCAAGCTCACCATAGCAATCAGTAAAATTTCCTAGTGGTTAATCAAAGGATCTTTTGGTAAAACATTCAGCATAACGTTACTGAGGCATACACACTCCTAGCCAAAAGGTTTTCAACTGTTTCTAATACAAACAGGTGCTGTAAACGCAACATGAAGAAGGATTGAGGAGAACAGACCTCATGCAGAAGATATGTGACGTGGTTTAACCAGGAAGGGTGGCTGCCCGCCCCACCCTCCTGTGGTAAGGGGAGGAGCAAATATAAACGAACGGGGCTCACATGTGTATTGAATGTTTCCATACTCTGTAGGTAGTATTTTCTAGTTTTAGAAGTCGACATGGTTTGAACTGTAAAGCTCAATTTCATACAGGCCAGTTTCCAGCTTTGAATCTCTGCTGTCTAAGAGTAAAATGTGTTAAGACACGTAAGTAGATCTAGATGCATTAGAGAAGCCTGTGAAAGAAAGTACCCACACCACTAGCAAAGGTAAGATTTAAGAATGGTCGTGACCTGTGATTGGGTTGTATGTGAAAACTAGACAAGTTTGAGTTCAAGCTTTTCAGAATGTTAAAGTTTAAATACTAAAAATGCAGAAAACGAAACAGCCATTTTTATTTGCAGTTTGGTTTGATTCATGTGCTATAGCACATGAACATTAAGAAAACACAGGACATCTGTCCCAGTAAAATGTCCTTTATAAACCATAAGTCTTCAATACCATTTTAAAGTCTGCCTTTGCCTCATCTCACAGAGTGAGCTTTTTGCTTTCTGTTTTTTTATATAAAAAAGAATCAGTAAATCACTTTAATAATTTATAGAAAGTTGAAAAGCAAGCAGTAAGTGATGAGCAGTCTGTAATTGCTGGAGATTAAAGTTGGTTTATTGTAGGAAATACATTTCTATACCAGTCACAGCTAAAGGAAACACTAAATTCTCCCAAGATTAGTGGCCAGTTCAAGGTCAGAAGCAACATCAGGATTCAGAAGGCATGCCTTTGAAAACAAAGAATAGGGCATTCTAGCTTATAGCTAAAATAAAATTGTATGTTGTCAATATAACATTAATAAGGTCTTTAAGTTTTGTTGATGTTATCTGAGATAATAGTCTTGTTAAAATATTAAAGAGTTAATATATTCAGCTTTATATCCCTGTTTCTGATGTCATGCAAGAAAAATTCAATATTCAAAATAAGCATACTTGACTATAGTGTTAGGCTTGGTTTTATTTTTTTATTCTGTTTGTTGGTATGACATGTGCTGGTATCAACAGACAGAAACAGAAATCTCCTTACGGATTGGATTGGTTTCATTCACTTCCATAATCTATTTCAGTTCCTTCTGGGACACCCATCTTCTCTTCCTTGCCTCTTTCAATACTGACTGGGTCTAAGAAGGGTAGGGCAAAACCACAGCTGAACAGTTGATTAAAAATGCAAGCATGATTTTAATTTTAAGTGGCTATAGCTGTACAGTTAACAGCGGAATTATTTTCCAGGTACAAAAGAAAGCGAACGCACTCACAGCTCTTGTCTTTTACTTATTCTGAAGTTGCTGTGTTCTGATTGTTTCCTTGTTTATTTTCTGTCACTCCTCTTTTCCTGTTGATGTAGAGATCCATGGCACCAGTCAATAGAAATCATCTCTTTTTATACTAAGAAGCTAGTGACATGCCTAGATCAGTCTCAGATGTACAGCTAGTGAATGATGAGTGAAAGGTGTAATTTTATTTCAGTGGTTCAGTGGTTACACTAGACCTGATGGAAGACAGTGGGAAGGGCTATACTCACACAAAGCCATGCAGCAATGCAATCCCATCAGGCCTCTTCGTGCCTTAACATTTCTCTAGGACTACTGGCTACAGTGTTTGTAACACCCCAGCTTACATTCCTTTCCTGATCTTCTCATCCTATCCACCATAAGAGTCTGCACAGCAGGACAACAGAATGTTTAAAATGTATGTATTCATCCAGAGTATCACCTGCTCTGCTAGGCCTCTTGTATCAGTGGCTTCCCCAAGTAAGGAGGTGCAAAAATTGTTATTTGATAATTTGTCACTTACATAACTTTTCATTTATTTGGATCGCACCAAGCTGAACATCAGAGTATTGTGCTTGCAGAAACAAATGGTCTCTACGTGCACAGAAATCATCATCTCTCTGAAGCACAGATCCAGTCTTGCTACACTCCTTTCAGTTGGCGTAATCATTTTGCCTTGACTATACCTTTAGGCTTCACTGATATTATTTAGCAGATTCATCTTCTAGAAGCCATTATTGATTTTTTTCCTTAAGCAATAAATCTTACTTCAGCTTTAGAATATTCAAACAATGTGACCTGTTTTTTTCCCCCATGTATTGCTGATAGTAGATCCTTAGTTATCGCTAAAATGTAAACATAAAAATAAGCATGACAAGCAGTTATGGCTGAAATAAGTATCGTTAATGAAGGCTGTAATTGTTAGAGAGTCTAAAGTAGAGGAAAAGTTGGGGTTTTTTTTTTTTTCAGTTTAAGAGAATGACAGACAGCAAATCAGTTGAGGATAAAATTATTCAAATCATTTAGCTAATTTGTTTCACAGATTACCAAGCTCTTTGCTGTGGTGATTATCACAGATTTTTTCCTTTATTGTTGTTTGACAGAATGTGTTGTTTGCTTCAGCAAGTGGGTAGATAGTATCCTTTCAAGATTATTTTTAGTAGTGTTCAGTATGCTTTCGTCACTGTTCATTTTATTGCCGATACTTCTTTTTAAACAAATAATGTTGGTGTCTTTAACCAAACAGCAAGTTTAAAGACTCAAATCCAAGGCATCTCTCAATTTAATGAAATATAAACTAGTCTGTAAGACGTTCCCAGCTTTCCTGAGGATAATATATTTTAGCAGCAGCTTGATCTTGCTGTACACAGGTAGGCCAAGCGGGAGGCACCTGGCCAAAGTAGAAGGCAGCCATAGCAACCCCCTTGGCTACATACGTGGAAAGACAATGTTATCTTTTCTAGCATATCAGTGTCGACGTTTTCTGTAATCCTGTTATGGAATTTACAGCATTAAGTTAAATAATGATATTGCAAGCAATAATTTAAGGTGACCATATATGACTTGACAATGCCTTCTTTCCATTTACATAATTATCCAAATGAGCTGAAATTTACATGTATTCAACAGCCTGATAAGGATTCTTCTGTACGGTATTTGATTTGAAGTTGGTCTTACTCGAATATTGTGATATTAAAAAGCAAACAAATATGTAACTTTTGCAGTCACTTTCACTATATTTACACTAGTTAGGAAAGGCAGCATATTTTATGCTAATGGTTCATATTAAAACATTTCATAGAAATTAATATATATGTGGAAGAAAGTCAAAGCTCTTATTTCATGTAATTGAGCAATCTCATCTAGCGGAAGATGTCCTTGCCCACAGCAGGGGGGTTGGAAGTAGGTGATCTTGAAAGGGCCAACCCAAACCATTCCATGATTCTGTGGTTCTAAAGTTCCAGGGTCTCACTAGGGTATTGGCAAACCATAGTAATCTGAAGATCTTGGACATACTTGAGAGCCTCAGGTTGTAAGACCCACTTATGACCACTTACAACAGTTCCAGCACAATTATTGTCTGTCTTCTGCCTGCCTCTGTCTGCTTGCTGTCACCTTATTTTCAGCATGTTTTTACTAAGAACCATTTTAAGAATCAGAGGGACAAAGTGAACATTTTTTTAACTATCAGGCTGTAATTACCTAGTACTGTCACTATAATATTAGGTACAACATTTTCTAAGTGGGAATTTATTTTTTCCTAACCGTTACCTTAAGACAGAAACCCTCAAGCCCCATATCCTTTCCAGATACCAAAGAGTAATTATATATCCTTCTTCACACATCATTTTAGGTTTTTTTGTGTCAAATAGTTGCCGACTTGACAGAAAAAAGAAAGAAAAGTGCAAGTCATTTCAGTTTATAGCTACTCCCTATAAATCAGTGGTTATGAAAGATTGTTCTGAAGTAACCCTCTGCAAGTCAGTGCCTGCTAAATCACTTGAATGTGTTGAGAGCAGTGTTCTCCCACCTAATTTGATCCCATTAACAAATACATAACACAACAGAAAAAATCCCAAAGACTTGTTACCAAGAACACTCAAATATAACAACAGTGCATCTTTTGTCTTTCCTGATACAGCATTTTTGCCTTCCTTTCCAAAAGATAACACAACAGGATGCTGATGCAAATAACGATACCCAGTCAAGCCAGGCAAAAATTCTAGTTCAGCACAGTTGACTTAAGAACATGCTGTAGCAATGGGTAAGTAGAATTGTATAGGATAGCAAACTTGTTATTTGAAGTGAAGCATCAGACTAATCTAGACTCCAAATATTAGACAAGGTTATACTGTACATAATCACACAAGGTTTGTATGTTTGTACACAATGTAACAAACTGCATAGTTGGTGTGAACATAAAGAAAAATTTTAGCAGAAAAGGTATTGGTAAAACTGGTTGATCCACTATGAGATTTTTTTTTTGCCTCAAAGCCAACTGCAATCCCAGTTGAGTGGAACTGTTTCAATTATGGTGACAGTATCTTTTGGTTCAGAAATTGTAATTTCTGGCTGCAGTATAGAATCA